TTTTAAATATTTGTATTTTGATGTTTTAAATTTTCAATAAAAGTTATTAAAAAAGAAACAAAGAAAAGAAAAGAAGAAGCTGTCTGGCCCATTCCATTGGCCGTCCTGGAAGAAGAACTGGGTGCTCTCACCTCTGGTCTGGATGCGGAAGTTGATTTTGCTTTCCGAAGGATGGGTGATGCTGTAACCACAAAACTCAACTTCAGGGCTGCAGGGAAAGAGAGAGAAGATTGTGACAGAGGCAGAGGAGATTAAAAAAAATCAAAGAATGGTCTCTTTGTGTCCGATACTCTGAAAGTTATACACCAGGAAAGGCTAGGCTTTACATTTAGTACTCAAAAAGAAAGGCTGAGCACCAAAGAATGGAGGCCTTTGAACTCTGGTGCTGAAGAAGACTCCTGCGAGTCCCTTGGACTGCAAGGCCATCCAACCGGTCAGCCCCAGAGGAGATCAACCCTGACTGCTCTTTAGAAGGCCAGATCCTGAAGATGAAACTCAAAGACTTTGGCCAACTAATGAGAAGGAAGGACTCCCTGGAGAAGAGCCGAATGCTGGGAATGATGGAAGGCAGAAGAAGAAGGGGACGGCAGAGAATGAGGTGGCTGGATGGAGTCACTGAAGCAGTCGGACTCTGGTGGATGGTAGAGGACAGGAAGGCCTGGAGGAATGTTCTCCATGGGCTCACGATTGATTGGACATGACTTCACAACTAACAACAACAACAAACATTGGTGCCCATTTTCAGACTAGGTTTATCTAACCTGGGTTGTAAAAAAAAACCAGATGCCAATCAGATCACCCAGATTTTTGATAGGACGATGGGCCCATTTTTCTTGAATCTGGGCAAGGCGGTCAGAAAATGCTTGAATGCTGTGTAGAAAGACCAAAAGCAACTCTCCTCGAAGAAAAATGGAATGGCAAACTATTTTTGTCTCCATGAAATTGTCTATGGATGCAGTTTTAAGGAAACGTTGTTCTTCAGCTTACAGAATGCTTAATATACCTACTCCTTTTTTAAAAAATAAGAAAATATATCTGGAAAAAAAATGCTGCTCTTCTTTGGCAGTTTGGTACCAAACGTTAGCAACTTGGTCTTAAGGATGCTTGAGAATTAAAGATATAAGCATACAGGAACCTTTTGCTTACTTTTTCATAATCATGTATCTCAAAGAATTGCCGAGGGTGTGATCTTCATTGTTGAGCACAAACGTGATACAGGTCTTATCTGACCCCTCAGCTCGTACCTACAGACAGAGGAAGAGAAAGAAAACACAGAAGCAGAAAGGTAAAAGGTGGGGTTTCTTTGGGCAAAAATGCCTTGAGAGCAGTACACCTGTGTTAGATGGTAGGACACCAACTCTTTCTTCTACTTATCGATATCTATATATCTATATCTTCTTCTATATATATAAAAGCGAAATACCCCTCATGCATCATCACAAAATCTCCAGAACTGTAAAGCATACAAACTTGAAAACTGGCACCTATGTTCCTTCTAGGTGCTCACTAAGAAAGGATTTTTCAAAATGACCACCAGAGCATTAGTATTTCCTATATTATTATTATTAACACACTCTGATGCTGAGGAATTCAACTCCCCCTCCCCACCTAAAAATAAATATGTCCAAATGTAAAACACAAGCAGAGGAGAGGAGTTTCAGTTTGAGTTTCACAGCAGCACCAGTTGAATTGAGCTAAGCCATGCCCAGGCTCCTTGCTGTCTCCTTTTTGCTCACACAGCAAATACTGTTTCAGTTTCCAAACAGCCCTCAGCTCTGTCACACACTGACAGGACACTAGCCAGATGAATACCGATGGACGCTGGTAGGCAGAGGCAAAATTTCCGCCCCACCCCACCCCTTATTTTCCTCCTCCAATACTAAGCCCGACCACATAGTTTCGTAGTGAAGCATGGGTATTCGAACTAGTTCTCTATATCAGGGGTCTTCAACCTTGGCAACTTTAAGGCTTGTGGAATTCTTTGAGACTTTAAGACTTATGGAAGTGTTGGAAGTTAAAAACCCACACCTCTCCTAGAAAAAAATGAAGTATCCTAGGAAATATTGAAAAGGCAGAATATTTCCCCTAAAAAGAGTAGAAACTCAGAAGCAGAAACTCAACTCAGAGAGGCAGAAACTCAGCCCCCACACCTTTGCTAATGGGCCATTAAGGCCTGGCCAGAGTATTCTACATAATAAAGGCCTCTACCAATCTCACCACCTGGTCTGGGAAGATTGTATCAGCCAGCACTCAGGTGAAGCCATGTGGTTCAGACAAAGCCTACATAGTTAGTTAAGACCACACCCCACCCAGGAGTCTGACAGCCAATGGGATACCCTTCTTACACAGGAACAGGAAACACTAAGGTGGGGCCCAACAGAAGTTATAAAACTAAGGGTCTCTCAGCATCTCAGTCTTTTTTCCTTCTTTCTTCACCCAAGGCATGTGATCCTGTCCACCATTAAACCATCTTTCCAAGCAGCCACCATGTTTCCAGTGTCTTTCTTCCCCACTTGGAACTGAACCCAGAAGGCTATTTCTTCCAACAGAAGTCCATAAGTCTTAAAGTTGCCAAGGTTGGAGACCCCTGCTCTATATCCATCCCCCAACTATCTTAGTCCTTGACTTACAATCATTTGTTTGAAGTTACAAAGGTACTAAAAAAAAGGGACTCCTGACATTTTTTCAGTGGCAAGAGACCGTGGGAGCATCCCCATGATCACAGGATCAAAATTTGGGTGTTTGGCCACTGGGATGTGTTTATGACAGTTGTACTGTCCCGGGGTCATATGATCATCTTTTCAAAGCCTCCCATCCGGCTAGTAAAGCGAATAGGGGAAGCCAGATTCATTAAGAACTGCAGTGATTCGCTTAACACCAGTGGCAAAACAGCTGTAAAATGGGGCTCACTCACTCACAGTAAAGCTCACTCAACAAGTGCCTTGCTTAGCCATGGCAATTGCTAATCGTGAGGATGGGGAGGATGATGACTTTTGAATAACTAAAAAGCCAAGGTGAAAGCTTCACCTGATAGATTTCCACCTGCTACATTAGCCCTTAAAAGACCCGGATGGATGGATGGATGATAGATAAATCGTAGATATAAATAGATCGATAGAGAGATGATATATAGAGATAGAGATTGATAGATGATAGATATAGATGATAGATATAGATAGATGATAAGCCCATCATCTATCGCAAGCCCATCACAAGCCCATCACACAACCCTATCGCAAGCCCATCACACAACCCATTACCCAAGCCATTAAAACACGAGAGGCTAATGGAAAAAAGATCACTACAAAACAAATGACCCAGGAGATTACAGCACAAGATCCAGGATATCTCCACAACAAAACTCACAAGGCCATCACACAGCCCATTATACCAACATCAACTCCATCAACCAATCAAGAGGCAGCAGCGCAGCCAACCAGCCCAGCATACCAGCCCCCACCACCAGCATTTACAGAGAGACGGAAGCTCCGATCACACACTGCTTGCACTGGCACGAAGCCGAAAGCACCAGCCTGAGGATGGCGAGTGGGACCTCGCCGAAACGTCGCCAAGATACTCTTAATCTTACACGGGAAAAGACCCGAACACACCTAGACCTACATACCTGTACCCGTGAAAATCTACAAAAACAAATAGAGGATAAACCGTATATATAGAGATAACAGTGTATATAGTAGATGATAGAAATAGAGAGATGATAGTTTAGTTTACTTTATTGTCATTGCACCTTGTACAACGAAATCAAACACGATCTTCAATGCCCATCATGACCATGAAAATAACTCCACACATTGAACTGAAACCCGACACCGAGATAGATGATAGAGATAGATTATAGATAGAGAGAGAGAGAGAGAGAGAGAGAGAAATGATAAACCGTAGATATAGAGATGATATATAGATGATATAACCGTAGATAGAGAGATAGAGATGGATGATATATAGAGAGATGATGTAGAGATAGATGATAAACTGTAGATATAAACAGATCGATAAACATGATATATAGATAGATGATAGAATTAGTTTAGTTTACTTTATTGTCATTGCACCTCCGTACAACAAAATCAAACACCATCTTCTTCTAGATAGATAAATGATAGAGAGATAGAGATTAGAGATAGATAATATATGTAAATGATAGATAAACCGCAAACGAGAGGGAGGGATATAAAGAGAGATAAATAATAGATATAACCGTAGAGATAGATAGGTAGGTAGGTAGGTGGATGGATGGATGGATAGATTTTGTGTGTGTGTGTGTATGTATATTTGTAGATAGATAGATAGATAGATAGATAGATAGATAGATAGATAGATAGATAGATAGATAGATAGATAGATAGATAGATAGATAGATAGATAGATAG